AGTGATGTAATAATATTAAATAATTTGCTGCACATTGCATTTTTTGCTTGATAGTAGTATTATCCCTATTTGTTAATCCACTTAATCAACTGGAAGATTATATTATAAACATTTTTATATTTTATAAATACAAGAATATTTTTATTGAATATTAACAAACTAGAATATACTAGAAAGTGTTTAGGAAAGTTTATAAATTATAAATATAAAATTAATATAAATGAATAACAACTGTAAGATGGTAGAATATCCTAGAATATTTAGGCATATTTTAGGTATATCCACTACCCAAAACCAAAAATATAAAATAGATATTATAAATTTTATTTAAAATTATAATTTTTTTTATTTATTTACAAAAATATTAAAATTTATACTCATGTCATTTCAAACTATACAAGAACTATAATCCCAAAACAGCACATAAACAATGCAAGAAACTAGTGGTGCTTATAATGGTAATTAGAGGTAAAACTTATTTTTTCCATTTATATCTACTTTATTTTTAAATTGATTTGAAATCAAAAACTGTATTGATAAATGTGATGTGTTGTCTTTCCCTAATTTGCAAAAGACTTAGATGACATGGCAAAAGAAGCCATATGTAAAATATTGGCTATATCACTAAAATCTACTATGTTAGCCATACAAAGTATCTTGAAAATAAAATTTCAGTGGTTATGATTTTATACTCTTCTCTAACAATAACATTAATATTGATGCTTTTCTTCTTCAATCTTTCGAATTCCTTATTAATGTTATACTAGAGAAGCAAAAAAAACCTTGAAATGAGTACTTTAGCAAATTTAAGTATCTCAAATAGGATGTATGTGTAGATATATTGAGGGAAATTAACATAATTATTGTGCTTCTTAGACCGATTTTCCTTGGCATTATGATTCTCTTGAGCACTACTATGAAACTAATAGATAACATTATTATATTACATAATTGTTTTCTTAAAAAACTGAAGTATAATACAGCTTTTAATGGTTGATGACATATCATTCTAAAAAGTAAAACAATCTTGCTTTTAATATAAATAACATTATTTTTTATAAATATATTCAATATGGCACACATGTTTAATATATATAATCTAAAGTAAAATCTAGTTTTCTTATAATGATATGAAAGAAACACTTGATACTTATTTTCTTAGGATTTGTTTTGGTATGAAGATAATCTAGAAAGTCAGTGGGCATGAGATTAATTTTTGAATACTGTTCCTGCAAGCTTCAATGTCTATAAAAATTTTGGTGGTATATACAGTTTGGCAATAAACAACATTTCTGGCATAATCCTCTCCATTTTTACATTTTTCCACGTGTTTTACTGAACCCTATAGAATAGACTATGAAAACTAATATAAAATATGTCTTAGGTCAGATTTGTTGTAAAGTCATTATTAATTATTGCTTTAGGCTTTTGTTTCACTGAAAAGTTACATGTTGAAGTGTACCTTATTCAAATAAATTAGAGGTTTATGTAGTTTTTATTCCCTAAAATAAGTTCTATTGTTATAGGTATAGGCTCACATGCTCAACATAATGGGAATTCTTGACAATTTTAGTTGTTGAGTTGATGAGTTTTTACCTCTTTATATCCTAGGAGAAGAAATGAACTAGACTAATCAGGCAAGCCACTCGTACTAAATAAAGCTAATACATTGCAATCCTCTTATTTTGCTATAAGTCTAATCTCTTTGTAAGAGTTAATTGGCAGCATGTTGTGAATTAGCACTCTTGTCAAAATGCATGGTACCTCTATTGAAGAAAGTTGTAAGAAAAGAAACATCATCTGCTTGGACATCAATTTCTTCTCTGCACTCCAACTTTCCTACTCAAACCAGATAACATTGAACTCAAGCATCTAGACGACCACTTTCATATCTTGTTTAGCTTGTCACACACAAAATAGTTTAGCAGGTCCATGCTTATGGGATTATCACTACAAACCCCAAATTAGAGATTGCTTACAGAAAAAAAAATTCATAATAAAAGAAAGAAAATAAGCACAGTATGTTGCTATAAAAACTATCAGAAAAAAAACTAAAAGACAAACTGAGTTTTGTGTTCAGAAAACTATGTGAAATTCATGTGCGATGATATCAAGCTTATGGACGACAAGCTCACAGATAGTGGTGTCTTAGAGTGGCTCAAGAACATTGTCAATGCAACGAGTAAAAATTAAACTTCCAAAATGAGATGCCTCTAACCTTGAGCTTTGCAAATGCAAGCTCCAATTCCACCATCAAAACCTCTAACAAATGCCAAAGTTGACCTCATACTTGTGAAGACAAAATATCTTGGATTCCTTATGACAACAAAGTCTATCCCAACTCATGCCTTGGGTCTATAGCTACAGTGAAAAACTTTTGGAGCTACATAGTAAGTGTTTCCAACAAAAACTATGAACTTGTCATCTATAACAAAGTGTGTTGGCTGGTCACTTTTTTTTTCCCTGTTATCTAACTTAGAAGTGTTTATTATTTTAGGGCAAAAAGCAAAGCCAGGAATTTTATCATATGGTACATAGCTATTTTTTCATGACTTCTTTAGTTTTTGACATTACATATGCAAGACAATTGATTCCTAAATTCATGATAACATAAATCCATTTTTTTCTCTGTTTTATATTAAGGGAAAGAGTTCTAAGAAGATCATGTCAATGAGATGCCAATCAAGGACATCAACAACCATTACTACTAATGCTAGGGTGATACACAAAGGAAAACTTGTATTCTTTGAAACAGGCACAATTGAGTGTGTTATGTTAATTGATGTTGCTAATGCAGAAAGTTTTGAGATACATATTGTTGGGTTCAATGAGAGTACCAAGCATCTTTCAAGTGAAATTGAGCAAGGTAGCATCTATATATTTTCAGGGAACAACAATGAAAAGAGTACACCTATATTGTGTAATGAAAATATTACATCTAAATATGTTAAAGGTCACACTTATATGTTATTCCGACTATTGAATGTTATGCATAGAAACAATAAACAGTGGCATTAAAATGGAAAATTGTATACCATAAGTAATTTTATGGGAAGCTCTGACTCATACCCCAATCACCAATGATCTTTGCTAAGCTGAGGTGGCAATAGGACCATTTGTGATCTTTGCACTATGCTTTGGAAAGCATGTATTGCTCATGGTCACTACATGCCTCAAATAGCAATCACATATTATACATCAATCCTGCTCTTGGGTTCTTACTGGAACTTCCCATTGAGAGGGTAAATAGGCAGCACCCTATGAGAAATAAATTTTCATTAAGGCTAAACACAAAATCTAAGGCAAGATCTAAAACACTCATTCAATCTCAAGTCACTCAACTCCATGTTATGCTAGAAGGAAATTGAGATGCACTCCTCCACTCCTGCAACAAGGACCATGATGCCATTACAACTGTCACAGTCGAAGCTGTTGACTCACCAGGGCTGTATATAGACACATCTGGTGGGCACCCCTAGAGGCCATCGTTTTTGGAATTTTTAGGGTTGGAAGTTTGCAGCCTTTTGCTGTTTTAATATTGTCCTGGATACAGCTTCTACCTCACTAACTACTTGAATGTGATAGCTGGCTCAATGCCAAATAGGGTGAGAAAGAGAGGAAAGAAGGCTGATAACTAAATAATAATTTTTTGTGTAGCAGTATTACAAATTAAGAAGAAGAAATTAAATTAAGGTTCAAATACTTGCTCAAGCTCCTGATGCATAGGCTTCTAGACACAAGCTTTCATAGACCATTAAATCGTTAGCAAGAATCCTTATTAATCTGAAGGATTTAAAAATTATCATATGACTTTAGGAGAAATCATTGCAAACTCAAGCCATAGGACACTCAACCATCCCATAAAGATTGTGCAACATTGAAAAAGGTGGCTAGGGTGTTTTTCTGGTGATCATGGGTAGGATGTATGGATTAATCAGAATTATAAACTGGATCATGATGGTGTTGCAATTGGTTTTCACACAATTTTGATGAACATCTTTCTAAATCAAGGTTTTGTGTCAGGACCTCAACTATTCGAGGTTAGTATTTAAATTGTGCAGAAAATCACAACAATTGGATTAAGAAATATCCTAGGATACAGCTAGATATTCTAGGTATTTTCTGTATACTGAGGTTTTCTAGAGCAAACCAAAACTTAAAATAAAACATAGATTATAAGCTAAATATACTAATTATAGTAGTTTAGCATGGGTTCTAATTCCTAATTAATCCCATATCCCAAACACTCAAATTATAAATACTAAAAAATTGAAAATAATAATAGCCCTTTAATTAAAATTAAATCTAGATCATCCAAAAGGAATCTATAGAAAAGAATATGCTATGAATATAGTGTTGGTGAGGGCATTCTCTTTAACACAAGTGTCTGAAAAGATTAAATGGCGTTATTTTATCTTTTCCGAAATTATTATAAATAATAATTCAAATAGTGTAGAAAAAAATTCTTAAGAATGTATCACTGGAAGTGATTAAGTGTTTTAGTTTTTTTTGAGCACTTTAATCTTGGTGGTAAGTTTATACTTTTCTTTACTCAGCAAAACTAACATCAAAATTATTAGTAGAATCATAAATGTGGCCATGTTTTAAGAAGCTGCAAATCTGTATCCTTTGCTAATAGAAGTATCACAGCCAAATGTAAGACTATAGATTAGAAATACAAAGATACCAAGCTATCAGTAATTGGATGTGGAGATCTAATGACTTGTTCTAATATTGAAAGTATCTTGCATAGATTCTCTTTTAAAAAAGGTTAATATATGCAACCAAAGGTCAAGCTTGTAAGACTTGTTCTCCCCTGCTAATTGCACTTTTAGTAGATATTAAAAGGTGCAAATTGAACCCAACCATAAACTGTCTTTTGGATGATCAAGTTGCAAATATAGGAATGGAACTGTAGCGGAAATGTCTAGCTTAGCAACAAATAGAAATGGATACTTAGAATGGTAAATAGGATAATCTTATTATTATCATTACATGCCATGGGAATTGAACACGCAACTGGTGTCGTGAAGCCCTAAAATTCTGCTCAATGCAAGGCCTTGGGCGCTCCACGTCAGCTCACTGCGCGCTACAGAGATCGAGATGGCTATGGCCTTGTTCGTCCCTAGCCCTTCTTCTTCCTCCTCCTCCACTCACGGATGGAAGAGATTCCAATCCCCATCGCGCTCGCGATCGATCGTCCAGGTAAGGGCTTCCTCCTCCTCGCCTCCGCCGGATTCCCCCGGCTCGACGCCGTTGCGCCGCCCGGGAGCGCCTAGCACCGTCAAGCCAGCGCCATCGCCATCGCCATCGCCATCGCCATCACCGGACACGCCAGCCCCATCCCCACCTCCAGCTCCAGCTCCAGCTCCAGCGAATCCTATCGCTGCTGCCACTGGATTTGAGAGCGGCGTGACGGTGGAATTCCAGCGGCAACGAGCCAAGGAGCTCCAAGAGTACTTCCTGGACAGGAAATTCCAGCGCCAGGCCGAGGAGGGCCAGATCTTTGGCTGGAGCCGCAAGAACGAGGTCGGCAATGGCAGGTAAACCCATCAATCCACACAAAATTCGCAGCCAATCTCTCTTCCAATCTCGCAGATGGGCGATGTTTGGGATCGCGGTGGGATTGCTCACAGAGTTCGCGACTGGATCTAGCATTGTCGATCAGCTGAGAATCGTCGTCGCCAATCTGGGAATCGCCGATTTCGACTAAGGAAGGAGAACTCAAAGAACAAGGAACGCGCGTTTTAGGGCTCAAGTTCGTACATACCAATCTCATTACGTACGCTTGTCGTACGCACATAGTCATTCTTACCGTACAGAGAATATCCGGGGTGTGTTTTAGGGCTTTCGTACCCACCGTGCCCGTTGAGATATTCCTACCGTACATAGAATATTCTTCTGTGTTTATACGATTAGGGCTTGGGCAATGAGAAATTGAGCCACTCAAATGGGGCTTGGAATGGCGGGCGTGGAATGGCGATGGAGGTGAGGCGATCGCGGCCAATCTCGCGGATTTTCTCGTGATTTCTCTGCGCGGAGGTACTGCCGTGATGGCGCCCGCAGAAGCTGGGGAAATTCCTGGTAGCGAAGAGCGGCGAGCATTTCAGGTCAGGGTTTCTTCCTCTACCTGTGAAAAGCGTGAGATTCCTCTACGCTTCTTCCCATTTGATCAGGTGGAAGAAGACGAGCCAGTGCTGAAGCGTGCCGCGTCGGTGTTCTTCGCGGATATGGTGGCGAGCGCCACTTCTTCGTTGGAGAGCTGCGCGCGATCGAATTACCCCAACGGCAAAGACGCGAATCTGGTGGAGCCTTTTGCTTCCGCTCCTCCATTCTGGGAGGGTGGCCCTCCTCCAGCAACTCTCTTGGATCTCAACGTTCCATTGCTGGCACCAAAGCTGGATTGCTCAAGCGCTGGTGGTGGTGGTGGTGGTGGTGGCGATCCCCTCTTTGACTTTCAAGAGTTCCACCATCGTCTCCACGACGTAAGCAAAGCTCCATTCTCGCAGTATCATTACGATGACCATCTTACCTGGGAGAGTTTTTTTACTCCTGCCGCTGCTGCTTCTGGTACTCAGGGCCAAGACGATCCTTTCCAGGGTTACAACGTGAGCTCTTCGCACGATCGCGGCTATAATGGTAGCGTCTCTCAGCTCCTTGACGCGTTAGCGCCACCACGACCGGCAGAGTCTTGTAGCGGCGGTAACGTCCAAGCCAGGATGGGAAATCTCATGGAGCTTCTCTACGGACGCCAGGAGGCTGCTTCTCAGCTCGGGCCGCCACCGGCGATGGAGTCTTCGACCGGTGATGGAGCTAAAGTTCAAGACAAAGCTGGCGACGACGATGGTGGGTTTGTGGAGCCTCTGTACAGTCGCATACGGAGCCAGGAGGAGGATGAGCAGGATTTGGAGTTTGGGAACTTCTGGGATGGCGAGAAGCCTGCTCAGCACTCGGCGTTGCCGGGAGCTTGCACGGCCGACTGTCACGACTTGGTGAGCAGCATCTCGAACCTGTCGAAGGTTTTGCTGTCGCACTATGGAGCTCGAGAGAAGAAGGCACCGAATTCTTTTCTGCGACAAGCAGGGATAAAGGACTTGCAGTCGGCCATATTGGACCTCTCCAAGTGCCTCGTTCATGCACACGGCCAGCAAAATGCCACTGTGGAGGATGCAAATCAGGTAAGTACTTAGCTTTTGTTTCTCTTTTCCTCTATTTCATATTACTGCTGGAGAGTTTAGCAGGTCGAAGAGAGCAAGAACCCTTCCGAGGAGGATCCAAACTTTGGACTGTACAGCGAGACTGACGAGCAGCCTGCCGAGCACGACGAAGACGGTAACGAGCAGCTTGTGACGAGGTTTAAGATTCTCTTGGAATTGGCTGGAAAAGGTCCCAAGGAGGTGGAAGGTATGCATTCTTATTTGAGGAGCTCTTAAACTGTAGTTTCAATTCATCTAGCAAAATCCATCTAACAATCTGGATGTAACATGCAGAGGTTGTCTCCAAAAGCGATCCCGAGCCCGAGGAGAAGCAGCAGAACCCTTCGTACCTCGACAGCAACCAAGTGGAGCAGAGGCTGGCGCTCTTGAGAAGCCGCCCCCAGTGGAGTGATGACGATGGTGCCGCGACGATGAGTGGCGAGGACATCCAAGTGCGAGACGACTACGTTCCGAAACGTACCGCGTCCTTGAAGGAGCTGTCCGACCGCCTCATGAAGAATGGCGTGCAAGCAGCAGCAGCAGCAGCAAATCCAGCAGCAGACAAGGGGTCTGATAGCAGCGAAGAGTTCGGCTGGGAGCACATCTAAGATCATCTCTTGCGCTTTGCGTGTAAGTAAGTTTGCTAAAGTGGAGATCTTCAAACTTCCAGACTGGATTTCCTTAGTAGAAAAGCTATAAAGACAAAAAGAGAGGCACTGCTGGTGTCCACCAAGAAGTGTACAGTACGATCAAAAAAAGAGACGCTTGGATTTCTCTCAAAAGGTCTGCATTGATTTGAATCCCACCGATGTGTCAGCCTTTGGTCTTTATGGTATTGACTTTGCAAAGCAAGGATCTCTTGGATTTTTGGTAACCAACTCGCGTAAAAGTTCTAAGATTTGGTAGCGGTTTGATGCCAACCTTGGCACCTTCTTGTCATGACTTGCCACACAAAAGATCACAACCTCATAAATCCATCCTTGCGAAGTTGCAACCTCGAAACAACAAAAAGCTGGTGCTTGAAGAGAAAAAATAGTATCCATCTTGGCTTGCAACTCTTTCTTGTCATTGTTTTTACTCTAGTTTGTCTACCATGTGCGCAATCTCGCTGGAATTCTTGGCTGGAACTTCCTGAGACTGCCACAACTTGGCCACGAACAAAAACAAAAAACTTAACAAAGATTTGGATTGTCATTCAATCCTTGAAAAGAGGCTGTCACTGCATTGCCATGAATCGCAGAGGCAGTGGGCAAATAATAATCATCCAGCTAAAGCTATCCTCAAAAGCTATATAGAAACTTTCTCCACTTCTTTTCTTCTTGTGTTCTTCGTTTGAGTCTTGTGAATCTACTTTCCCTGCTCTTGAGTGAGCATCTCTGCTTGCTTTGTCTGCTGGCTGGCTGGCTGCTGCTGCTGCTACTGCGAGGAGGATTGAATCCAATCCAATCCAATCCAAGTGTGGAGGAATTTAAGGTACATGTCGCTGCTGGCAAGGCTGTTCTCTCTCTGCTCGAACGTAAACTCCGAAAAAAAAAGACCCGCTGCCGTAGCCAGACCATGTCTATGGTGTGTAATTTGTAAAAAACGTAACATTTGTAGTGTAGATTTCGATATACTTAGGGTATTTTATTTATTTTTTAAGGGTTGACATTAACTGTTAAATAAAAAATCATACTTCTTAAGTAAGGTAAAAAAACATTTTAACTATTAAAATAATATATATGGCAATTTACTTTTGATGGTAGATCAACTTAGGAAATAAAGATTATAACATTTTTTGAAGGGTTAAAATTAAAATTATCTTTCTTTGAAAAGTAAAATGGCTTAAGAAAAGTGTAAAAGCCTTCAAACATACTTAAACATTAGCAAAAGCCATGTGGCACTTTTTCATTGAGTCTGAATTTGGATGCCCATACATGGGTATGAATGACCATTGATAACGCCATAGGCCATGCATGTTCTATAGATGACTTATGAATACCACATGAATTCATTGCTTAGAGGCCTCAAAGTTTTTTTAATTTCAAATAATACGTAGATTATCTGGACATGATAGGCATTGTTAAAGAACATAGTGTCTCATCTCTAATATTAAGCTATTTCAACTCTTCTTCAGGTAATGAGATTGAAGATAAGGACAACAATGAATCATAGGTGATTCGGTGCTTTAATTATATATTGTAATCTTTCATGTTATGGATCTTTAGACTTTTAACAACTTTTTGCAGTCACATGGATTTGCTAGTGCAGTAACATTTTGCACCTGGATGGACTTGAAGATTTTAGAGACCAACACCATAAGTTATCTTGCATCTTACTTTGGAATTTCATAATTAACATTGTAGCAGCCATGGGGAAAAAATATGCTAATAAAAAACCCATAACAATGGGAGCACACAGTTAGATCAGGTTTTGATAAAGAAAGTGTTGTCCATAGCTGTTGGCAGTGCTATGGTGTGTCGACTATTATATACATGGGATGGGGTCATCCATTATGCCATTGGAATGGGCATGATGGCTATGGGGAGAAGGAAAGAAATTCATTTATGAGAAAATAGAAATAAAGTTACGCTTTTTTACAAACTAACGCCATCGGCTGGGAGCACTCCTGCACATCTAAGATCATCTCTTGCATGTAAGTAAGTTTGCTAAAGTGGAGATCTTCAAACTTCCAGACTGGATTTTCTTAGTGGAAAAGCTATAAAAATAAAAAAAGAGACACTAGCTGGTGTCCACCAAGAAATGTACACTGGAAAGGCGATCAAGAAAAGAGACGCTTGGATTTCTCTCAAAAGGTCTGCATTGATTTGAATCCCACCAATGTGTCAGCCTTTGGTCTTTATGGTATTGACTTTGCAATGCAAGGATCTCTTGTATTTTTGGTAACCAACTCGCGTGAAAGTTCTAAGATTTGGTAGCGGTTTAATGCCAACCTTGGCACCTTCTTGTCATGACTTGTGACACAAAAGATCACAACCTCATAAATCCATCCTTGGGAAGTTGCAACCTCGAAACAACAAAAAGCTGGTGCTTGGAGAGAGAAAAAGTATCCATCTTGGAGTTTGTCTACCATGTACGCAATCTCGCTGGAATTCTTGTCTGGAACTCCCTGAGACTGCCACAACTTCGCCCAAGAAGCCATGAACAAGAACAAACAGTGACAGTGTAAGAAATTAACAAAGATTTGGATCGTCATTCAATCCTTGAAAAGAGGCTGTCACTGCATTGCCATGAATCGCAGAGGCAGTGAGCAAATAATAATCATCCAGCTAAAGCTATCCTCAAAGCCATATAGAAACTTTCTCCACTTCTTCTTTTCTTCTTGTGTTCTTCGTTTGAGCCTTGTGAATCTATTTTCCCTGCTCTTGAGTGAGCATCTCTGCTTTCTTTGTCTGCTGGCTGGCTGGCTGGCTGGCTGCTGCTGCTACTGCGAGGAGTGTGGATTGAATCCAATCCAATCCAATCCAAGTGTGGAGGAATTGAAGGTACCTGGTGTCGCTGCTGGCATGGCTGTTCTCTCTCTGCTCGAACGTAAACTCCGAAGGAAAAAGACCCGTTGCCACTTACACCTGCGTGAAGCCCCGGCTCAAAGCTGCTTGCCAGACCGTGTCGATCCTTTCCACATCAATGCTTCCCACTTCGTGGTGGCTCCACTCCTCCAGTGCGTGCAGCAAACCCCCGGCATGGCAGGCAGCAACAACCCCTCGGTCATTTATATACTGCACATGAGAGAAAAGAGAGAAGAGTGAGTTACGTCCACGCGCTGGAAAAGCCAAGAGGGAAAAAGAGCTCTCTCCTACCTCGCAAGTGTGGACTCCGGCCACGTCTTTGGGAAGTCTCATCCCAACCAGCTTCCCGTATGTGCAGTCGCTGCGCACCTCCTGCACTGGCGGCACGACAAACTGGTGGAAGTGCGTCCCCACCGGCGCAAATCCTTGCTCTCGTTCGGTAACCCACTTGCCAATGATCCATCTCTGCAGAGAAAGAAGTAAAAACGATGTGTAAGAGCTGTAAGACTTGGCGTCGTGCGCTTTACCAACCTTGCAGTACTGGCCAGCTTGGTATTTAGTGACATGAACCAGGTTCCTGCGGTGCTCCGCGGCGGCCTCGCTCAGAATGGATTCGTAGCGACTTCTGGAGCTTGTCAACATCTGAAGTGGAGGAAATGCGATGGATTAGATCGCTTCGTAACTCCACGGCTAGCTACTTAAGCCTGAAGTGAATGAGACACATACCAGCACGCGGACTCCCTTTCTGCACAAGTAGAGAGCGATGGCCCGGCCCAGCTTGGACGTTGCTCCTGTCAGGAACACCTCTTCCACTTCGGCCGGGAGCTCGTTGAGGACCACCGCGGCTGTCAGGGTGTTCCCGTGAACCACCCTGACTCTCAAGTCAGGATGCTTCTTGACAAACAACAATCCACCTCCGTTGAGTGCTTCGTTCTGTCACCAACGAGAAGAG